CACAGTCTGCAAACCCCAACGCATGTCAAAATTTGTCCACTAAGCGCATATTGAGGTTGTAGTCCATGAGAGCTGCAGGCTTTAGAATGGGGTTCATTGGTCTCTCTGTTGTCCCTGCCACTGGTACCATTTCGTTTGGTTTTTGAACTGATGCAACAATGTGACATCACGTTTGTCATGCCACCGAATGCCATGATGTCATTGGCAGAAAAGGGCTTGCCCCTCACCTCTGCGAGTGCCAGCGCAAACCCCTTGGCATATGTTTGCGATTACCACGCACTGCTGCCACACACGTCTGTCAAGTTCATTTCGCAAGAAATCCTGAGTAAGGGGCTGTGTACCAGTTATCAGTAAATAACATATGCCCCTTACCAAGATATGGTTCCATCATTGTTCGAACCACATCACCAGAATACCCAATAACTTCAGGGTATTTTCTCAAAGTATTACTGCCAGTGTACACAATAAAAACTAAAACAAGACCACTTCGGAAATCACACAGTAAAAAATAGCTTTATACCAAAGCGTTTCCTCTTGCTTGGTATATATTGCTTGAATGAGAGTCTTCCTTTTGAATAAAATCAAGGACTCATCAATAACAAGCTTCCTGAAGGGATAAAAATACCATGCAGCACTTTTGTTTCAGTACATAAACACATTTTCTTATCTTATATAACCTGTCGCTTCTGTCAGGCCTGGTTTTGTCTGAAAAGTGTAACATACGCAACAGTATCAGGAAACGATTGACACCTATAATGTCACTAAAACCTGGAGTTGAAATCAGGCGATCTGTTGTCCAGTATGTTTGGGGACAGTGTGCTTAATACACATGTGGCATAAAACAATTATTGTGGCAAAAAAAAAAGGTACATCTCTGCCACATTGTCTCCTTCCACTTGTGTAGCCGTGATTTTGGTGAGAGAATTGTAATTTGCCATGTGTAATCATAGTAAGTTTTGTTTCCCGACAATGATGTCCATCAGGGGTTTCATCGAAAAATAACTCAAAAGTCCAGTTCACTGGCATTGTTCCCAAGTGACAAGATGCTTTATTCCACTTTGTTTTCATCAAAGTCATGGGGGCTGGGAACAAACTCGTCACCGTCCTGCCAATCCCAGATGCGGTCTGCTGGTGGGGGTCTGGATATTGTACCGTGGTTGTGGCTGTGCAGGTTGTGGTGGTGCAGGTTGTGGGCAGTGTGGGGGTAGGGTGAGGCGGTTGTTTTTGCTGGAGTCAGCCGCGTGGCTATAGCGTGGCCCCGGTGATGGTGCCACATGGGCCGAGCCACCCTCACTATCACCACCACGCCTCCTCCCTCACTGTCACCATTCATACCCATCGTTACAATATCGTTTTCTTCACTATCAGGTCGTGGTGTTGGGCCACGGGATGTGCTCCCAGAGTTTCTCCTTCCCCTTTGGGAAAAACATATGAAACACTACCAGACCGCATGCTACGTCGTACATACTGGCGCTTCACTGGGGAATATTCACTCCACTTCACTAGAACTGCTTTCAATGACCTTGAAATCACTAATCACTATCACTATCAAATGCTATCATCAGGGTGTTGTACACGACCAAATAGTTTCCTCTTTCGTCCTGGTACAGGCGAACTTTAACGTGAACAAGCCCACAGCACCAGAGGTCGAAGGTTGTGGGTCGTCTGGGTTTTCGTCACTATTTACGTTTATCCTGGGCACTTTTTTCGGGAACACTCCACTTGAAAAAACCCCTTTAATTCATTGTCACTGACATTTTCATCGCTGTTAGAGCTATCCCCTTGGAACAAAAGACCTCCAATCCGCCGAGGAGTGAGGAACTTCTTACCGAGAGGCATGGTGAAAATGGACTGACAACATGGCGTTCCCACAATGCACCGCTAGGTCCCAGATTTTTTTCACAGGGTGCACACCGACCACTGAGACCCATTCTCTCCCGTGTAGGCCTACCAGGCCTTTGGCGCTCGATTTGAAGCCGCTAGAATTTGTGCGTATAAATACGTCAGAAACATTGGCTCGTAAGACGTATTTATACGTCGGAAACAGTCAAAGGGTTAATTCACTTACTAATTTTGTAGTTGCAATTTTGTCCGAACTGGCAGCCTCGCCATGCCTTATCACACTGTGTATGCCACTATGGTTCTTAAATCTCTCAAACCAGCCTTTGCTTGCTTCTTAACCCTTTGAGGGTTTTCGTCGTACTAGTACGTCTTACGCGTAGGGGTTTTTGACGTACTAGTACGCATAAATTCTAGCGGCCTCAAATCTAGTGGGAGAAAGCTGGTAGGCCTTCATATGAAAGAATGGGTCTATGTGGTCAGTGTGCACAGTCTAAAAAAAATCCTGCAGCACACAGTGCATAATGAGAAAAAAAAAACTTTGACCATTTTTTTGGAATAAATCAGCGACTTTGCAGTGTATTTTCGTATGGTATTTATTGTTGTATTCTAGTTTTCTTGGTCTCATTTTATAGAATGGAAGACATATTACAGAAATTGAGATGATTTTGGCTGGTTTTACAATGAAAGGTGCCTTGAAATTGAGCTCAAAGTAGCAGAAATGTTCGATTTTTACCAAACTTCAAAAGTAAACAAATCGTGCCAAGCGTGCAATACACGTCAACTGGTGAGTCTAATATTCTTTCACAAGTGCACCAATAATATTTATACCATTTTTTACACTAATGCAGTAGTCTGCTTAACAGTAAATCTTATATTTTTTTGTGAGAATAAAAATTCAAAATGGAAAGCAAAAGAATATAAGAGGGGCCTTGAGACGTGACTAATGACTAGAGGAAATGTCATTTTAGTGCCAGGAATGTCTTTCTTGTTTATTCTGGACCCTATTCGGAAATTGGCATCTTTTGAAATTTGTGTGAAATTGGCAAAATTGCTAAATTCTGACCACTGTACTGGATAGTTGAATTTCATAAATGGGTGGTTTCTTGCACCCATTCGATAGAAAAAATGGAGTTCTAGCGAAATATTCATGTTTTTTGTCGACTAGTACAGCGAAATTGGCCGAAAATGGGGCTCAAAGTGGGCAAAATCGCCGATGCATAAACATCGCCGAGACCGCTAACTTTGCGAGAGCATAATTTCGTAAGTTTTCTATCAAATTTCAAACTTTTGGTGTCTTTATGATCGGGAAAAGATTCTCTATCTTTTCATAAGAGAAAATAATTTTTTTTTTTTTTAAATTTGGCCGACCCTGAGAACGAGTTTCGGAGAGGGCCTGTCGACCCTCAAAGGGTTAAATTCACAAATATCAGTATTTGTTGCAGGCAATTTCTTTACGAGATCGTCATGCAACTGCCTAGCCTTTTCACAAATAAGCAACTGCATAAGACTATCTCCTGCTAATTGTTTCTCGTTTATCCACACCAATAATAGCTTTCTCAACATCTTCGAGTACGGGTGATCTCATTTTTGTCAGCATATTTACGCCCCTTTGCAACAACAGCTTCCTTGATTTCCTTTTTCTTGGCCACGATATGGAAGCTATGGTTGTATGGGTATTCTTATACATCCTGGCCAGTTCGGCCATGCGTACGCCACCTTCATATTGTTCAATGATGTTTTTCTTGAATTCAGTCATATTTCTCACCTTCTTCACCAAAGACCTGGCACTAGGAGCTTTCTTTGGAGCCATGGTAGCTTATGTAGCAGTTGCAAGCACTAAAATGAATGGAATATTATGAAATATTTCGTATGAACAAGTGAGGGGACCGTCACTCACTGGTAAACAATGGCACACTGGCTGGGAAGGGAGGGTGAGGCGGCTTGGAGCCATGTATACACGTCCAGGATGAACGACTATTTGCAAGTCAAACGACGATTCGCGAGCCAATGTTTTGATGAAAATAACGTTATGATTTTCGACAATTACGACTCTCGAGCCTTACGATTATCGAAGGTCCACTGTATATGTAAATATTTTGTACTTTGTTTTCACTAGAACTATAAATGTAATCAATAACTTTTATGGTCATGGGCAGTTATTTTCAATTATTTACATATAAAAATAGTGATTCAAAACTTTCTCACATTATTTATGTCATTTTCATTCACTAAAAATATACAGTGGATGATCATAATTTGCATGGGCTGTGTTCCTGAAAACAGGGCTGCTAATGATTTCTGTGACTTATGGATTGAAACACACATGTGTAAAATAGAGTTGTGCTCTTCAGAGATAGCCATAACAAATTTTTGAATTGCATAAAAATAATAGCTTTTCTTACATAAAATTGTCAGTGATATTGCTCTGTGAAATACCTGAACTCTAATGAAGTTCAGACAGCTGAAAAGCAGTAAAGCCTTTTTATCCACTTCTTAATATTGTATATTTTTTGTTACTTACCTTAAAGTTGAGTTCAGGATATTTAACACATTTAAGTAGGTGGAGAGGGTGGCTGTGGACCTATTCCTCATTCTTTTCACTGTGTCACACTGAGGATTATTCATTACACAAGCTCTTATTTTTGCCTTATTGTCACAACTTGACTGAATCGTTGATTCTATAACACCAAACACTCATTCCATCTCCCTGATGTGTGCAGTAGCCTTCAGCATCCTAATTACCTTCAGTTTGTTCCATAATGGGCATAGTTTCATGATTGCTCTTCTTCCTTTTTTCACCAACATCACTTGCACTTTGTTAGGAAACCATGATAGATATCCAGAGACAAGGTGGGATATGCATTCAGATACACTGACCCATGTGGAAGACTGATTTGTTTACATCTCCTCACCCTCCCTCACACCCTGTAACTCATTTTACTTACTGTATTTGCTAGATCATAGTTAAGCACTAGTATATTTAGTGTACATTGTACTTGACATCTTATTCTTTATCCTACATTGGCCAGATAAACAGTGTTCTATGCTATTTAATGACTAATGTCATTTACTCACTATTTTTTATACAGATTTAACTCTTAAACTTAGTTTTTTATGAAACTGTTACTCATGTTCTATATAATTTTTATGTTTTTCAGGTGTATGTGTTACTGTTTTGGGACCTGATCCTAGGTTTCCAGATTTTTTTACAAGAGAGAGTAGTTACTCTGCTCCTTGTCACATAGAGTCCCCAGTTGTAGCTGCATTAATGATGAAGAAAAGAGCAGAGCTTAAGATAAATTCTGGAATTCTGATTGCTGTGCCCATACCACAAGAACATGAAGCAGAAGGAAAACAAATCAAGGATGCTATTGGTATAGTATTTAAAAACACTTTCTCTTTACTGTGATAACAGGATTGCTAATAAATATGGTAGGAGTACACCTTTATTTTAAAATGTTTCTCTCACATGGGCATTATTATGTCAGTACATGGCACATACAACTCATTATATACAATCATCTGTCAAAATTTCAAAGTACCTTTAGCCAAACCTCCCTGCAACTTCAAGAGGAAACTGGATCTCTGATTCTGCCAAGTGCTAGATCAACCAGTCTGTGAGTGCTATGTACATTGCTAATAATAACAGCCTAGTTGAGCAGGTAGTCAACAAGGAAGTATGGCAAGGGCTGGGCTGCAAAGTTGGAAAAGTTCTTCAAGTCTGTCAGGTGTATGTCACATTGAAGGATGGCTGGGGATGTTGTGGTTCAGAAGGTCATTAGAATTACCATGTCCATGCACTTCTCACATCTAAGCTATTGAATAAATAGTGGTGAATGTTTCCTTCTTTTGGTGGAAAGCAACTGACAAAAAATAAAAAGAATTTAATGAAATTCTTAAGGATGGGTATTCATTTTACAAGATTAATTGTAAATTTGACAGAGGAAGCAGTTAAAGAAGCAGAGTTAGCAGTGAGTGGCAGAGATGTGACCCCATACATCTTACAACGAGTACATGAAATAACTGGTGGCCAGAGTCTGAAGGCCAGTATCCTTTTATGAGTAAAATTATTATTTTGTAGCTAATTTTTGTATGTTTGTAACTTTTTCCTCAGTGAATTTTTCACCCTCCATATTATTGTAGAATCTTCTACAGACATTTTATATGCCTTCAGATGTCAAAAAATTCTTGAGGGAGTGCCTGAAACACTCATAAAATAACTTTACCAATGAAAAGAGTGTCATGTCCTTGTACTGAAATACAGGAAGAGGAAAAGGATCATCCATTATACTTCACAAATGGCAGTTCTTAAATGGACAACTATGACTAGCCCACATGATACAGTAATCCTTCTCTTTATGTGGGTTTACTGTATATAGATTCACTTTTATGCCAGAACCTCATTTCTGTCGGCAAGTTGCTTTTATGAATTTAGAAAAGGCATACGATTGGGTGGATAGAGGAGCAGTGTGGCAGATGTTGCAAGTACATATATGGAATATGCAGTAAGTTACTAAATGCTGCAAAGAGTTTTTATGAGGATAGTGAGGCTCAGGTTAGGGTGTGTAGGAGAGGAGATTACTTTTCGGTACAAGTAGGCCTTAGACAGGGATGTGTGATGTCACCATAGTTGTTTAGCATATTTATAGGTGGGGTTGTAAAAGAAGTAAATGCTAGGGTGTTTGGGAGTGGGGTGGGATTAAATTATGGGGAATCAAATACAAAATGGGAGTTGACACAGCTACTTTTTTTCCTATTACTATGCTTTTGGGAGATTCTAAAGAGAAGTTGCAAAAGTTAGTGGGCGACTTTGGGAGGGTGTGTAAAGGAAGAAATTTGAAATTGAACATAGATAAGAATAAGGTGATGAGGGTATCAAATGAGTTAGGTAAAGAAAAATTTGATATCACATTGGAGAGAGTGAGTATAGAAGAAGTTAATGTATTCAGATATTTGGGTGTAGACTTTTCAGCAGATGGGTTTATGAAGGACAAGGTTAACCATGGAATTAATGAAGGAAAAGAAAAGGTGGGTAATGCATTGAGGTATCTGTGGAGATAAAAAAAGCATTATCCATGGAGGCAAAGAAGGGAATGTGTAGGAGTATAGTGGTACCAACACTTAAATTGGTGTGAAGCATGGGTTATAAATGCTACAGGAAGGAGGAGGCTGGAGGCAGTGGAGATGTTGTGTCTAAGAACATAAAAAAGGAGGAACACGACAGCAGGCCTGTTGGCCCATACTAGGCAGGTCCTTCACAATCCATTCCACTAACAAAACATTTGCCCAACCCAATTTTCAATTTTACCTAAGCATTAAACTTTGATAATTCTGTTAAAAAGGGCTCCAAAAAGGTCTCTCATGAAGGTAAAGGAAAGCCGGCATATCAGTGGAAGATCATCAGAAAGGCGCAAAATTCTGGCAGATGAAGCTGAGCGGAGGATGAAATCGGGGATGACTGCACTATCAGGCACAGCTGAACAAAATGCTCCAGTGTCTCCAGATATGTTTGATGATGGTGATAATGATGACAAGAAAATGGGAGAAGAAATGGAGATCACATGGCATGGTTTTCCTCTTTCATCCCTGACTACTTTAACCCCTTGACTGTCGCAACCCCGAATCCTGAGGTGTCTCCTGGTGTCGCAAAATTTAAAAAAAAAAAAAATTATTTTTTCTTATGAAATGATAGAGAATCTTTTCGCGATTGTAAAAACACCAAAAAAACGAAATTTGATGGAAAACTAACGGAATTATGCTCTCGCGAAGTTAGCGACCTCAGCGATATTTACAAATCGGCGATTTCGCCCACTTTGAGCCCTATTTTTGGCTAATTCCACTATTCCAGTCAACCAAACTCATAGCTATTTCTTCAGAACTCCATTTTTTCTATCGATTGAGTACACGAAACTGCCCATTTGCCAATTTCAACTACCCAATAACATGGTCAGAAATTTGCAATTTGGCCAATTTCATGAAAATTAAAAAATATGACAATTTCAAAATAAGGACCAAAATGAACAGTGCAGACATTCCTGGCTCTAAAATAACATTTTCTTTGTTCATCAGTCACATCTCCAAGCCCCTGTGATATTACTCTTGCTTTTTATTTTGAAATTTTATTCAAACAAAAAATAGATTTTCTGTTATGCAGACTACTGCAATACTGTAATAATTGTAAAAATTACATCAACCCATTCATGACTGCATATTAGAATGGCTATTTGGACATTTATTGGACAATGACATCATTTGTTTACTTTTGAACATCGGCAAAAATCAAACATTTCCCGTATTTTGTGCTCCATTTCCAGGTTCTTTTTAAAGCAAAATCAATCAAAATCACCTCTATTTCTATAATATATTTTCCATTCTATTAAATGAGACCAAGAAAATGAGAAAACAACAATAAATACTATACGAAAATAGACCACAAAGTCGGCATTTTAATTAAAAAAAACGGTCGGAGTTTTTTTTTCTCATTATGCACTGCGTGCTCCAGGATTTTTTTATATGGTGCACACTGACCACACAGACCCATTCTCTCACATGTGGGCCTACCAGCTTTCTCCTGCTTGATTTGAAGCCGCTAGAATTTATGAGTATATATACGTCAAACACGGTACTTCGTAAGACGTATATATACGGCCGCGACAGTCAAAGGGTTAAGTAGCAGTAACCTTAACTTGCCACCAGTACACCCTGCTCCTGACCACACAGTGATGGTGAGGCTTCCTCTCCCTGTTAAAGGTGCTCCTGCCCCACATCCATTGTCTTACACTGATGTCTGGGATCAATATCATGTCAGAATGCCATGCTCACCAAAGAGTCAGTATCCACTGGGAAAGGGCAGTGATTCACTTGTCCCACGATGGTCAATAATCTGCCAGTCACTGAGAAGAGGTATTGGAAATGTGGAGGAGTTGTGTTCAGTCTTGGATTACAACAGTCATTATGCAACAAAATGGAGGTTTAAGGGTCTTCAACACCTGATAGAGCAGGAGTTTGATGAGGTGGAACGTGATTATTTCTTCAGCACTACATTGCCAGCAATGATACGCCTTGCCCTAAATCTTCCCAAGCTTGTCACACAGGCCCCGCCACTTCTCATTTGTCGAGCCACACACTCCATCATGTTATCCCAGTTGCAGATTGCATCACTTCTTGCCAATGCTTTTTTTCTGTACTTTTCCACGAAGAAATGCCAAGGGAAGTGACGCTGAGTATTCTAACTATCCTGACATTAATTTTAACAGATTATTTTCTCATAAAGAAAAGCAGGCCTTAGAGAAGATGAAGTGTGTGCTAAATTATTTTCGAAGAGTAACAACCGAAGAACCGACTGGTTGTGTGACCTTTACTCGGCAGTATGTGAAATACCAGGAGTTACCCAAGTGGGAGACAGCCACACAACATTTACCTAAATTTCATATACATGTAGATACTAATGGCCTTATTGAAGAAGCAGGTCGACTTCTTCAAGCTGATTTTGCCAACAAGTTCCTAGGTGGAGGAGTGCTGGGTCTAGGTTGTGTGCAAGAGGAGATTCGTTTTGTGCTTTCCCCAGAACTGATCATCTCCTGGCTCTTCACGCAGGCACTGGACAAAACTGAGGCACTCATCATCACAGGAACTGAGCAATTTAATAGTGGTAATGGCTATGCCTCAACTTTTTGCTGGGCTGACTCTTACGTACACTGCACACCTGTTGATACATAGGGGCGAAGAATGTGCCAAATTACAGTTATAGATGCTCTTCACTTTACGAAACAGCCACAAGTACAGTACAGGCCAAGCTGTGTTATTAGAGAGCTCAATAAGGCGTATGCTGGTTTTCGTGTTCTGACAGGAGCAATGGAGTTGCTGTTGGTGTTGCTACTGGAAACTGGGGGTGTGGAGCTTTCAGAGGAGATCCACATCTCAAAGTCACTGATTCAGCTGGCTGTATGTGGTTACACTGGATGTGACATTGCTTATTTCACCTTTGGGGGATGAAAAACTTCGGAATGACCTTGCTACTATGTATATCTTTTTGAAGGAAAACAATGTTACAGTAGGAGAATTAGTTCAGGTACTGCTCCACCATGGGTCACGGGAGTGGTCTGATGGCTCTGATTTTTTCCAGTACATCTATCATAACCTTGGGGCTTATGAGTCAGAAACAGATGATGAAACAGAGGAATCTGCTGATCAAGGTGTAGATAAAAAAAAGAGAGAGGAACGAACTGTTGACAGTTCACATACCACCACCAAGACACCAAAGAACATTACAGACTACTTCAAAAAGACTGTCAAAACAAACCTACCATCTTCTGTCTCACCATCTCTTAGTAGTTCACTTTGTCATGCCTCTACTAGTCAACAATCAGCATATAATGTAAATGCAGTTGAAAAATCAAGAAAAGAGAGTCTTTTTGAGGACAAGATTTTGCAAGTCTTAACAGAGTGTGATCGTCTGGTAGGAGGCCAGTTGGTGAAAAGCAATGAAACTCCAAATTCAAAGTCAGCTGCTAAAACATGCAAACTCATGGATCAGGACCGAGACGCTGGTAGTACAGAGAACTCGAGAAACTGTAAGAGAGATGCAAATGTGAGAGAGAGAGAGAGAAAAAAAATGAAGAGAAAAAGAATACAGTGTCTACAAATCCTGGTGAACCAAGTAGACTATTGTCATTTTTGGATGATATAGACAAAAGTTTGGCATCATAGATACAAATATATCTCCAATGCTGTATATTTTGTATATGATATGTGTAAATTAAATTAAATTATATACTTTTAACAACAGTTAGAGAATGGTATTTTTTTAAATTTTGGGGAGGATGGTCAAATAATAGAGTATTGTAATTTAGTACAGTAGGACCCCTGTATCCACGGGGGATGCATTCCAAGGACCTGCCATGGATACTGAAACCGTGGATAGTAGCAAACCCTATATATAAGTCCTATACATATCTGTTATAAAGTTTGATAAATTATGCACAATAAGTAGAGAATTCCTAGGTAGTAGGTTGGTAGACAGCAACTGCCCAGGGAGGCACTACCGT